AGAGGAACGAAGTCAATCACCTCCAGCCCCTGCGTGCCGAGCTTGACGCGGGGAACCTGCGGCAGGGCGGCTTGCTCCATGGCGCGGCGGGCGGCTGCAGTCTCGGAGGATCGAAGGCTGCTGCCGTGCTGAGAAGTGAAGGCTGGAAGTGGAAGGGAACACTCGGCTCAGCAGTGCAGTGGGTATTTGCTGACAGACAGGGCAAAAAAGCTCTGCTTTCTGCTCAACGGCAACCAGCCTGTTCGCTGGCTCGTAAATCATCATAAATTTTTAGTCAGAAATAATATTTTTTTTTTACATCAAACCAGCCAGCAGTAAATAATTCACGATAAGATACGGGCTGAACAACCCAGAGGAGGACGACGAGCAATGAAGCATGATTCCTGTGGCAGCTCTGTCACATCACATCGGCTCGTGACAGGGTGACGAGCCGCGTTTTTTGTTTGTGGCAAAAGTCGGTAGTAGGCTGGCACGAATACTTCTCGCCCGCTGATGGTGACAACTACCGGCCTGTTCGGCACGCCTGAATTGGCTGGCTGGTGCTGGGCTAGACCAGCCAGCCCAGCCAGTCAATTCCAGCCTCCAGGCTAGCTAGTTAATTTCAGCCTTCAGCTGGTTTTTAAAAATTTAAATAATGGTGTTAACGAGAACAGGTGCTTTCTAGCCAATTGTACTTAATGCTGAATTTAAAGTTTCAAATTCAAACTACCAGCCAATTCAACCAACAGCAACAGCAACAGGTTCAACAACAACAGGCTCATAAATTGCCGAGCTAAAATCTATACAAAGTTTAACACGAATCACAGGCACATCCCAGCCCAGCTTCATAGATTCACAGGTCTACATGCCGATGCTGGGATCCTTCTTCCTCCTGCTCCACGAATGACTTGATATGAGGAGCATCAGGCTCGACTCCTCGCTGCGGTAGTGTGGGTAAGCAGCCCAATTTATCCGGATGGTCTCTTTCCTCGCGCTGCTCTCCAACAAATACATAGCACATATTAACTTACCAACCTCATCTCACCTGGGCGACTAACTCAATATAATCAAAACGCTACGTACCTGAAGATCTGATCCAGTAAACCATCATCAAGCTTTGCACGTGAGAACATCTTGTAGGCCATGTCATCTTCCTTGTACCTCTTGAGAACTGAGATGCACGAGAAAGGGATATTAGAGAGCTCTAGGGTACCAATTAGCTCTGGAACATCTGATGTTGAGTTTACACCAAAATATTCATGCAACCATAGATAGAATACAGCAAAAGGCAAGTGCCTTGTCATCAGTAAGTCGCCCCAACCAAGCAAGCGTCAAAGAGGCTTTCATCAGTAACAAGTTCACAGGCTATCAGTTACTCGCCACTGGTTCATTTTGCTATGTGTTGATGTTATGATCTACAAAATGATTGATGATGCATGAAGCTTCAGACAAGCAGTAAACATGATCTTGCAATTCATAGAGTTAAAATCCATAACCAGAACACTTGTATTGGTCATAGATGCTAAATCGCAAAGTATCTTATTTATAAATGCGTGTAGTTAGTACCCCGGGACTGGCGCCGTACCACTTGGGGTCAGCTGTAACCTCTCCAGTAAGCGGGTCACGGCCTAGCTCAGTATGGGTCTGTCCGTAGCGCCAATTAAAGTAACAACGTTTCAGCTCGTTGTACTTGTTCTGGCACATTTTCTTGTTGTACCCGAGCCTCGTGACTTCGTTGAACTCATGAACGACATTGGTCCACCCTAGTGAGGTTGGACTAGTAGGGTTCCAGTGACAGAGGTCTTCTGCTTGATGATTAGGTCAAGAAGCAGAGAACAGGTTCTGTCATCCCAGCTAGCACGGTCCTGGCTCAACTGATGCAAGGATCAGCATTGAAGGGATTACCCACATGGATCCATATGTTATGTCGTACGGAGGGTAGTTCCAGTACACAAAGCTGAGAGTGAGTGACGGAAAAGAGAACTTGCCTTTTGGGTCCATTTGCGGCGTTTTGAGCGGAGGTTGTAATGGCTGCCAGCAGTTGGAGAGCAAGACGAAGCCGACGACGCTGCCAGTTTGGGCAGAGTTGGTCAGCACGTGACGAAACGTCCCTGAAATGTCTGCAGTTCAAACATAGAGCACACTTGTAAGATGTTAAACATAATCTGAAAATAGAACATTTGCAGTGGTGAAGAACATAAAATGTGTACTATTAAACATAATCTAAAAGTAGAATATCAACAGCAAATTCCTTGCCTCACATTTTGATCACTGGAACAGTAGTGTAGTAAATTCATTAGTCATACTTCAATGTTTAGTTTGCAAAGTTCAGGTGCACAATTTAGGACGACAAGCAAAAAAGAAAGCAAGGGAATACATAATATGCTTGCATAATCATACTACCTTTCACATTGCATTAAATATATCAATTACTAGTATACTTTGATTCAAAGCAAACAGCCACATCGGATGTACAAGGATGACTTGTACAATGTCAGCTTGATGTAGAGGTCCACTAGGCCAAGAGTTACTACAAAACATGCTTGGGTCCAATTTCCTAGCTGAATAATCACCGAAAAACTATATAACTACAAGGTATGGGACTGCAAGGAGAATAAATATACTCAAAGGACCCAATGCTCAACATTACAATTGTACCAACTCTAGCAGTGCCCACAAAATCCCAGTAAAGTGTGTGGGTGACAGGGTGAGACTGTGATTGATTTGTAGTGGTTCTCATTCTCATCATTTGAAAAGAGCCAACATAAATAGAACCATTCTTAGATGGGCACCGTGGCAACTTGATTTGGCCTTGGAAACATGGATTGGCCTTGGAAACGGTGGGAGGTGGAGGTGGGCACTATGGCAACATGAGCCGGAAGAGAGCATGGATATGTCAGTCTTTTCTGAAAATAAAACAGCCGTAATTTCTTTCATTTATTTGTAAATCTGTAAAAATTTTCAACTTGATACAAGCTGTTCTAACACATATCAGCAACTTCCTCAAATAAACGTACATTCAATCTCACAAGATTTAGGGATTTCTATCCTATACATATAGGAAAAGACATGAATACTTTTTGGATCTCAGATCCGGTCGGGTGAGACTGCGGCGGCGTCGGGTTCCGAGGGGCTTACCGTGCTAGAGAGAGTCGCCGTTGATGGAGGCGGGGTCCGAGGAGAGAGCCGGAGAGCACTTTCACCGAGGCCCGCCGAGAGTGTGGGGAAACCCTAGCCACGCGGGGGTCAAACTACAAGACGGCGAGCGGGAGCTCAGAGGCGGCCGGGTGAGAGGACGGCGGCGTGGGATTCGGGGGTTACCTTGCTGGGCGAAGGCGCTGTCGATGGAGGATGGGTCGGGGAAGGAGGCGGACGTCGCTGTCACCGCAGCCCTGGTGAGGAGGACGGCGTAGAGAGGCGGCCGCGGCCGGATCCGGTGGCCACCGACGGGGCCCGGCGACGCGGCGTAGACCACCGCCAGGAAACGCGCGGAGAGAGGGCGACGAGCGACGCTTGTGCGGGAAACCCTAGCCACCGACGGGGAAAGAGGAGAAAATGAGAGACATCGCGCACGCTGCGGCTTATAACACCAGCTGAACGGCTGGGGCTGGGTTGCCGAACAGCTGGGCTGATAAGCCTAGCACTAGCCAGCCTAGCCAGCCTGCCGAACATGCTGTGTACGAGCTCTACTCCGTAGCTCAAAATCTGCCGCCGGCTCGTTTACATCCGGTCTTTCCAAATCACCTTTAGGGCTGCGATAAGGCTGCCTGTAACCCCATTCCAGTCATTCTGTCGAGTAATGGAACTGCGTACGTGTAAAGTTTGGATGGTTGTAAAATAGGTCATGGCGTCTTGCAAAGTTTGGATGATTAGCACTCAATCATCACAAATTATAAGACAGTTTTGGCTTTTTATACGTAACTTTTGCTATGCACATAAATATACACTATGTCTAGATATATATTAAAAGCAATATATCTAGAAAAAACAAAACGTCTTATAATTTGGAACTGAGTCGAGTCCTAGACTAGACTAGATGGTAAAATAGTTGCATGAAATTGTGCTATGAAGTGTGTTCCTATATGCTGCGATAAGGCTGTAATCCCATTACAGTCATACATGTTCCTATACGCTCAGGTTTCAGACTCTTCTTCTACATTTCACTGCAAATGCTCTGAAGTGAGTTTAAGTCTGAGAAAGTAGAAAGAGGAGCAAAGATGCATGTATAAGTTCTTGCCTACTGGTAAGTACATGCGGTACTCGGAAGCATGGCTTCCTCATCCGCGCCAAAGAGTCTGAATGTGCAGATTGAACTGTACTGGTAAAAACAAACCCAGCTTTCATCCTCTCTACAAATCAGAACCATGATTCTGCACTTTGGTGGTGAATTCGTCATAGCTAGCAAGCAATAAAGAAACTTCACCATTCCCTTTTCTAAAACTCAAAGGCCATTTTTTTTTAGGAATTCTATGTTTTTCTTGTAAAATTGAACTCATTTCTAGTTTTCTGAATCCTACATTTTTCCTGTGAAATTAATGATTCCTGTAACTCATGTGAAATTGAATTCATTCTTATAAAATTCCTCCCTAAAACTGTTGCATCCTTAAGAAGCCACAACATACTCGACATTCCTCAACACGGTCTGCAACATAGCTTGTTTCTCATTCTCAGGTCCAGATGCGGATTAAAAGCGAGAATACATGTACTTGGTGGCATGTTTTCCTGCCTACATGCTGATTGAGCTAGCACACATTACTGTAACTTTTTTTTTTTTTTTGCGATGAACTATATGGCAGGTTCACATAACCACAATTCATGTGACAACATATAATCATGAGCAAACTCTACAGTCAATTCTTAGCTTCACATAAGTACACAAAATCAAATTCCTGCTCGTACTTCCAATTAGACTGGGCCCTTCATTGTTCTTCTCTGTACATTATTTAGAACAGGTATTCCTGAGGACATCTGCAGGGAGAGTGCCACACCAATCGCATCATCATTGTTGCTTTGAAGTATTTTTAGCTCTGCTTCTTTGGTGTATCAGCATACTTCCAGGTGGCATGTTCAAAGGAAGCGAATTGTCTTCCACCAGCCACATCTTCTTCACGTATCTGGCTGCCCATTTCTTTCAGATCTTCATCTGTCAGTTTCACCTTCAAGGAGTCAATGTTGGAATCCAGATTCTTGATTTTGGTTGTCCCTGAGAAATTGTAGGAAACATCTGTCAGTGACTGAATGTAGGACTGTCAGAATTCAGAACATATAGCTATTAAGCATGACTACTGATGACTTGCTTGAACTTGGAAGGGAATAATAAGTGCAGAAAGACTCAAGAATAAGTCAGTTAAATCACACCACGTTTCAAACCAACAAAAGTATTTCATAGCTCGGTAAAAGAGATCATATGGCACAAACTATTCAACAAGCTATCATGCACACACATTTGGAAGGAAGGAGGTTACTTCCCGCTCCGCCCCGCCCCGCAGAGTCCGCGTGGGGTCGATCTGCGGAGTCCACGTTGGGGTACGGGCACGCAGTTTGCAGCTGGTTGTGTTCCTGCCATCGCCCCGCAGAAAAGTCAAGATGAATTATTTATCTATATCTATTACTATACAACAAAGGCAAATAAAATTACATTATGCTCCGTGGGCAATTTTGGAATTATCACCACTACATGAGGCTTTATTTGAATGCGCATATATTTATCTCAATCCGCATGTGTTGAAGTGGATTGGAGTGGAATTAATCTAAGTCATATTCTATTCTACTCCAATACATGTGAATTGAATTGAATACACATATATCAAACAAGGTCTGACGTGGGATCACAGTACTTCGGATCCACCCAACACATCAGTCACCTTTGAGACGTGGCTTTTCTTTTGCCCCTCGACATACCTTTCGGCTTTCGTATGACCCTCAGTTCTTCTCGTATCATTTTCAGGTCCCTCCTTTACTATTTGAATTCCACGAGGATAGTTTAGGTGTGCCTTCAGCCCTCTCGTGTCACCTTCATTGCTGGACTCCATCGCATCCACCTCCCAAATCTTAGAGGCAAAACTCAAAAATATGTGCATACATTGGGTAGATGTCGCCGCAAAGGTCGTGCTCCCTAACAGTGAGGTCACAAGTGATGTCAAGTATTTTCTCTATTTCAAATTATAAAAGCAGTAATTATCAAAGGCGCTGTAGAGGTTGTGCCCCAACAGTGCTGTCAACATCGTCATAACCTGCCAATAGTCGTCCGGTTCGTTTGGTCGTGTTTGGTTTATAACTTGTACTTTTTAAGTCAACGGATAGTATTTTTCTCTCACATTAAATCAGCAAACGGTACTTTTAAACCTGACTTATCAGCGAAGCAAGCCCAAACGAACCGGACGAATGGTGTCTACGCACGCGCTGCAAACGTCGTACCCCAACAGTGGGGCGGTGCTGATAGTCGAGGTAGATGTATAGCCGATGTCCGTGCAGGCTGGCCTCACAGCAGGCGCGCACGTCTCCCGGCTGGGCCGTCGGGCGCACACGGTCGTGCTCATGCCGGCGGCGCCCTGCCTTATCCCGAAGAAGGTGACAGTGACACCGCAGCGGAAGGCATTGCGCAGGCTGTGGCAGCTCTGTCGTCACTCGTGACATCGGATCGTGAGTCGTGACAGGGTGACGTGCATGATTTCTGTTTGTGGAAAAAGTCGGTAGCCTGGCACATGAATACTTCTCGCCCACTGATGATAATAACAACTGATGATTGTTAGGTAGTAAAATAGTTCATGGCATCTTGTAAAGTTTTGATGATTATAAAATATTCTTCAATGCTAATAAGCCCCGTTCGTTTCGCTGAAAAAACAAGCCAAAACACTATTCCACCTGATTTATGGTGAGAAAAAATACTGTTCCGACTGAAAAAACAAATTGAAAAGTATAGATTATAAGACAAGCGAACAGAACTATAATATATAAAAATTTTGACTTTTATAGATACATTAATTTTACTATACATCTAGACATATTACACGTCTAAGAGTATAACCATGAACAAACTCTACACTCGAGTCTTAGCTTCACATAAGTACACACAATACCAAGTTTTTTTTTTTTTTTTTTTTTTTTTTTTTGACTCACAAAATCAAGTTTCTGCTCGTGCTTCCAGTAAGACTGGGCCCTTCATTGTTCTTCTCTCTACATTATTTAGAACAGGTATTCCTGAGGACATCTGCAGGAGAGTGCCACGCCAATCGCATCATCATTGTTGCTTTCAAGTATTTTTAGCTCTGCTTCTTTGGTGTATCAGCATACTTCCATATGGCATGTTGAAAGGAAGCGAATTGTCTTTCACCAGCCACATCTTCTTCACGTATCTGGCTGTCCATTTCTTTCAGATCTTCGTCTGTCAGTTTCACCTTCAAGGAGTCAATGTTGGAATCCAGATTCTTGATTTTGGTTGTCCCTGAGAAATTGTAGGAAACATCTGTCAGTGACTGAATGTAGGACTGTCAGAATTCAGAACATATAGCTATTAAGCATGACTACTGATGACTTGCTTGAACTTGGAAGGGAATAATAAGTGCAGAAAGACTCAAGAATAAGTCAGTTAAATCACACCACGTTTCAAACCAACAAAAGTATTTCATAGCTCAGTAAAAGAGATCATATGGCACAAACTATTCAACAAGCTATCATGCACACACATTTGGAAGGAAGGAGGTTACTTCCCTTCAAAACAAGGAAAGGTTGTTTGAACTGGATGTGTTCCTCTACATTGTTGTGCTTCTCTGTCAAAGCAGTTATATCATAATTGAAAAGGGTTACTCCCAAATCATAGTACTTAAACTATTTCCAATCATTAATGGTCTATGAATATGATGCAATACACTTTTCTGTGAAAGTGTATACAAGAAAAGGTGTCTGGAAATGCTTCTTTGGGTGATCAACTCTGTGACTCATCAGTCTGGAAGCACTAACCGTCGTCAATGATAAGGGAATAAGATTATAAGGTCGCACCTGGTATAGGAACCACATCATCTCCTTGATGCAGAACCCATGCTAAAGCTAGCTGAGTAGGGCTGCACTGGTGCTTATTGGCCAGTTCTTCCATTCGCAGATAAATCTGCTTGTTCTTCTCCAAATTTTCTGGAGCAAACCTTGGGATCCCATGCTGACAAGTCAAAGTTAAATCTGTAAGTGAACTAAGAAAAGATTTTGATGCAGGCCAAGAAATAATTTTTTGCAACAAAAGAGATATTCTGAGGTAGACTATATCAATACCAGAACAGATTCAGCGCCCACTTGTTCTTTTCACTCCTCTTCCACCAAAAAACCACGGCCAAGAGGACTGTATGGTACAATTCCAATTCCCAATTCTCTGAAGTCCACAGAGCATAAAGAATCTTAATACGTAATAATATCTGGTCAGGACCTCCATGGGCTGGAACAAAAGAATTTGCAATCCATCAAATCACCTGCAGAGCGGCACAATTTCGGGCTCAATGTCGCGAGACCAGAGAGACCACTCCATCTGGACCGCGGTGATCGGGTGCACAGCATGTGCACGCCTAATGGTGTCCGGGCTCGCCTCTGACAATCCGATGTACTTGACCTTCCCCTCCTCCACCAACTTCTTGAGCTCGCCAATCTGCAATGGTTTCGAACAAAGAATTCGCATGAGCAAACACACCAACAACGCGGACTGCTTTAAGGAAGGCTGCAGAGACCGTCTCCTCGATGGGAATTGTGGTGTCAATGCGGTGTTGGTAGTAGAGGTCGATGCAGTCGATGTCGAGGCGGCGCAGGCTGGCCTCGCAGCAGGCGCGAACGTACTCCGGCCGTCCGCACACGGTCCGGTTGCCGCTCTCGTCACGCAGTATCCCGAACTTAGTGGCCACCTGCACCTGCTCCCGCGGCAGCTGCTTCAGCGCCTGCACACAGGCAGAGGCGATGTCTTCCGCGGGTCAGTAAAACTCAGTTCACGCCCATAGCTCTTTAGAAAAAGGGAAGTGCGAACGGACCTTGCCAAGGAGGATTTCGTTGGTGAGGGGGCCGTATACGTTGGAGGTGTCGAACAAGGTGATCCCGCGGCTGAAAGCGTGCGTGATGACGGCGATGCCGGCCTCGTCGTCCAGCGGGGAGTTGTACGCGCCCGTCAGTCCCATGCACCCGAACCCCAGCTTGGACACCTACATAATCAATCGGCGGAGTCGATTCAATCAAAGCACCGGGCTAGCGGACAACGAGAGAGTGGAGCCGCGGCCGCCGCAACAAGATAGCTTGGGGAGAGGTGAACGGAGATAGATAAAGAGACCTCAAATCCCTGGGTGCCGAGCTTGACGCGGGGAACCGGAGGGGCTTGGTTATCCATGGCCGCTGCTCGCTGGTGAACTGAACGAGGAACGGTGGAAGTGGAATCAAGTTTGGTTCGAGGAAAAATAGCAGCCACTTCTGCCAGATTTTATAGGGCACATGGTACATATTATAGCTATAGGATTGTTGAATCTGGATAGTGGCTGGTATGTTCTCTCCTTGTTTTAGCCGATTCTCTTTCACACAAGACCGTTGAATTATCCGAAACAATCTAAAATATACTGTTCTACCTACCAACCAAACGAGGTGAGTAAAAACGAGCTATCTGGATCATAATTGTTGGACTATGCCCTCGTTTAGTTCGGCGCGGAATCGGCGCCGTTAGAGTACTGTAGCCACAGTAGCTACTGTAGCGTTTCGTTTGTATTTGGTAATAATTGTCCAAACGTTGATTAATTAGGCTCAAAACGTTCGTCTCGTAAAGTACAACCAAATTGTGCAATTAGTTTTTAATTTCGTCAATATTTAGTACTCCATGCATGTACCACAAGTTTGATGTGACGAAGAATCTTCTTTTTGCATAGTGTCAAATTCTGGAAATCGGGGGAACTAAACCGGCCCTATAAACATTAATAGAATATAAGTTGTTCATAATACCCTTACTTTTTGATGGGAAGGGATGAGATGTAACTCTTCTTATATATATATATATATACCTTCTGTTTCAAATTACAAATCATTTTGATTTTTCAGATACAACAGATTTTCTATACAACTAGATATATGATATGTTTATAAATACATAATAAAAATTGAGTATCTAGAAAAGATGATCTATCCATCTTCTGCACTAAAAAATACGTATTGGCGCTGTTCGCTGGTCTGATTTTTTCAGACCAGCCGGCTGCT